GTGTGTGTGTGTATGTGAGAGGGAAAGAGAAACAAGAGAAACAGAGAGAGAAAGTATGTATATGTGTGTGTGTTTGTGCTTGTACTGGGACTTGAACTCAGGGCCTTTCACTAGCACTCAGCTTTCTTGCTCAGAACTGGCACTCTACCACTTGAGCCACATCTTTGTTTCTTTTTTCTCTTTCCTTCCTTCTTTTTTTTTGGGGGGGGGGGTTGAGTCGTGGGGCCTGAACTCTGGACCTGGGCCCTGTCCCTCAGCTCTTCAGCTCCAGGCTAGCGCTCTACCACTTGAGCCACAGCGCCACTTCCAGCTTTTTTCTTTTTGCTTATGTGGTGCTGAGGCACTGAACCCAGGGCCTCATGCATGCAAGGCAAGCGCTCTACCACTGAGCCACCTTCCCAGCCCCTTTAGTTGTTTTTTTGTTTTTGTTTTTCCTGGCTAATTGGAGATAAGAGTGTCTTAGATTTGTCTGCTGGGTTGGTTTTGAACTATCATCCTTAGATCTCTGCGTGTGTTTTTCCACATGGAGGGTGTCAGGAGTACACTGCCATGTCCAGCCATTAGTAGTGATGCAGTGTGAATCCCTGACTTCCTGCACACATACCCAGCGCTCTTTTTTTTTTTTTTTTTTCTGCTGATTGTAGGGCTTGGACTCAGGGCCTGGGCACTGTCTCTGAGCTGCTATTGCCTAAGGCTAGAGCTCAACCTTTACCACTGAGCTACCTTCCCAGCACCCACACCTCCCTTCTCCACCCCCCCACCAAGCGGCTCTCATACAAACCAGGAAACACCCACCAAACTGAGAAACAATTCCTTTGGTGAAGAGAACAGTGCGCTTTTAAGCTTATGGAGAACACAATGTCTGTACATTCTATTTGTCTACACTCTATCCATACCACTATGTCAACCTTCAAGCCCCAGGTGAAGCTGAAGAGATAGACAGAAGCCAGACTTCTCCATTTTGTTTCTTTTCCAAGAGTCCTTCCTACCTTTAAGTTGATGATTCCAGTCTTCTGCACTGGGAGGTAGGTGACTCGAAAGCCTTCAGCTTCCAGTGAACGACAGGAATCCAAAACACATTTGTGTTCTGTCTGAGTGGTGATCAGGTGCTTTTTCCTTGACCGATAGAACCTGGCTACACCCTAAAAATTGGTAATCATGAAAAAAGCATACTCAGAGTTAGCAATGACATCAATCCCATTTATAAAGTTATTTATTTATTTATTTATTTATTATGCTGGATGGATCTCAAGGCTTTACTCATACAATGTAAGAACTCTATCACTAAGATCTACTCCCAGCTCCCATCCCTTACCTTAATTGCTATATTGTTGGATTCAGTAGCTCCACTAGTGAAAATGATCTCACGAGGATCAGCCCCAATCAGAGAAGCTACTTGCTGTAAGTCAAGAAATAAAGATACATAAGATTAATTCCCCAGGCAAGAAAGGAGCTGCAAACAACTGGGGTAGATCTCTGCAGAAAGAAGAGCTCACTACATTCCAATTGCCCATGAAGATACTCTGCATCTACTAGGTCTGGCTAGGATCATATGTGTAGGATGTTATTATATTTTTTTTTCTAATTTGCTTTATTGTTTTAGAGGTTATATACAGTGGGATTTCCTTTACATGCATCAGGTAATAAGTACATTTCCTTTCACACAGTATCATCGATTCCCTCTTTCTCTCCCATTCCCTCCCTCCCATCTCCACCCATTAGTTGCGCAATTCATTTTAATCAATGTCTAGTGCAGCTAGTATGCTCCACTGCTGCACTGTTCCATCCTTTTCCTGATGATTCTGTGTCCTCCCCATCCTCCCACAGATGCACACATGAATACACTGTATATAAGGTAAAGAATAGTCATCAGAAAGCTGGGTGCCGGTGGCTCATTCCTGTAATCCTAGCTACTCAGGAGGCTGAGATCTGACGATCACAGTTCAAAGCCAGCCTGGGCAGGAAAGTCCATGAGGCTCATCTCCAGTAAACCACCAGAAAACTAGAAGTGGCGCTGTGGCTCAAGCTGTTGAGCACTCGCTTTCAGTTGAAGAGCTGAGGGATAGTGCCCAAATCCAGAGTTCAAGCCCCATGACAAAAAAAAAAAGAATAGTCATCAGAAAAAGAAAAAACAAATTTTAAAAAGTCCTTTATTTCCATATCTTTGGAGTTTGTTTCAGTGTGCATATATATATGTATATATACATATATATATAAACACACACACATATATATATATATATACACATATATATATGTATTTATTTATTTATTGCCAGTCCTGAACTCAGAGACTGGGCACTGTCCCTGAGCTTCTTTTGCTCAAGGCTAGTACTCTTAACACTTGAGCCAGGGTATCACTTCTGGCCTTTTCTGTTTATGTGGTACTGAGGAGTCAAACCCAGGGCTTCATACATGCTGGGCAAGCATTCTACCACTAAGCCACATTCCTAGCCTGGATATGGGTTTTTAATACATGTAAATATGCTATTTAACTTAATTCAACCTTTATAGAAGCCAAATGCCTAGTAACCCACCTCTATAAATCTATTTCAGAAGTCTAAGATCTGAGGATTGCAGTTTGAAACCAGCTTTTGGCAGACAAATCCTTGAGACCTTATTTCCAATTAACCAGCAAAAAGCTGGCAGTGAATCTGTGGCTCAAGTGGTAGAGTGCCAGCCCTGAGGGCAAAGCTAAGGGACAACACCCAGGCCCTGAGTTCAAGCCCCACAACTGTCATACACACCCCCCCCTCAAAACCATATCCATCTCCACTCTGCACACCTCCTACCAAAAAGAATCCCTGCACAGGCCATTAAACCTCTGTTGTCCGAGCCTCCAACCCTGTTCTGCACTAACCTCTCGAGCACGTTCCATAGCCGCCTCACTTTCCCAGCCGTAAGCATGAGTCCGGGAGTGTGGATTCCCATAGTAATGGATGAGGTAAGGGAGCATGGCATCCAGTACCCGAGGGTCCTGAGCAGATCAGAGTGCATCAGTCTCTTTGTGTTATAGGTCAAGTCAGACCCCACTCCCTCTCCCCAGACCTGCCAACCCTGCCTCAACACACTCCCAACTCTGCCAAGGTTAGGCTTTAAACATTGTCTATACCCTCAGGAACTAACTACTATCAGCCTAATGTACTTCCATTCCCAAACCATCTGCAATCATATTCTTCTACTAATCTCTCAGGTAGCTGATAAACATTGTGTTGTTCTGACAACTGTTTCTACTGTTCTTTCTATTCCTGCTAGGCAATGGGATTCAGGAGGGCCTGCGCAAATATTTCTCCCACAGTGGTGAAAACGTGAGTTAATAGTAGACTAGGAATAGAGAGTCTAGGGGTATAGCTCAGTGGTAGAGTGTGTGCTTAGCATGTACAAGGCCCCGGGTTCAGACTTCAACAAACAACAATAGTAATAAAACAATATCTATCATTTGCTAGGTTTCTATATATATATTTTGATCAGTCATGGGCCTGAACTCTAGGCCTGGGCACTATCCCTCAGCTCTTCAGCTTAAGGCTAGCGCTCTACCACTTGAGCCACAGCGCCACTTGTGGCTTTTTCTGCTTATATGGTGTTGAGGAATTAAACCCAGGGCCTCATGCATGCAAGGAAAGCACTCTACCACTGAGCCACCTTCCCAGCCCCAGGTTTTTATATCTTTTAATCCATTTAATACTCGATCAAGTTCATATAGTTACCAAGTGCCAGCCCAGCTAATTCTAGAGCCCAGGCTTTTACTACTACTATACAGTGCCGGCATACTAAAAGTGATTTAAACAAGATCAAGATCAAGAGCTAGTATGCAGTTCAGTTCCAGTGAACTAAAACATAAACTTCCCTACTTTTAGTAGAATGTTCTTGCCCTCTTGCTAGCACTCTCAACTGACTTCTACAGAGACTCTTTTTCTTTTTTTTTGGTCGGTTATAGAGCCTGAACTCTGGGCCTGGGAGCTGTCCCTCACTTCTTCAGCTCAAGGCTAGCTCTCTACCACTTGAATCATAGCACCATTTCTGGCTTTTTCTGCTTTTATGATGCTGAGAAATCAAACACGGGGCCTGCAAGGCAAGCACTCAACCACTGAGCTACCTTCCCAGCCCCACAGATGCTTTTTTGGAATATTTTTGTTTCTTCAACTTCCTATAAACTGGTCTTCAACATCCTATAAACTGCCTGGGGAAAGCTGCCCCTCCATCCTTACCAAAGGAGTCGTAGCTTGCACATCCATATAGAGAGGTCGCAGAACTGACTCTGTCTCAGGGGCAGCAGCTGTGTCTGAGGGACTAGTAGACTGGGGGGCATGATCTACAACTGACAAGTCAATCATCAATCAATTAATTAATTAATTAACCAACCAACCAATCAATCAAGTGGAGTGGCCGAGTAAAAAATGATGCAACTATGGCCCACAGGTCATGGGAGACAGCAGCTCAAAGCTGGATAGAGGTGAGATGAGAAGTTTAAGGGACACTGGGGTCGAGTCTCAAGGCAAGAGCAGAAAAACAAGAGACTCAAGCAGGTGTAAAAGAAGATCAGGGGTCTTGGCCGGGGGACGCTGGTGACAATGTGCACCCGAAGGCAGTAAGGAGGGCTCTCAGAGACAAAGCTAACTAGGAAAGCAGAGGTGGAAAAAACCCGAGATCTCCTTCCACGCTTCCTGACTGGATGGGACCTGGACCAGAGACTAGTAACAGCTGTCGGGGACCAGTGAGGCAGAGGAGACCCCGGGCTCTGGGGGCGTGGAGGGCCGGACGCTGAGGCCGAGGAAAGATCCGCGTCTGCAGCGAGGGTGGCAGAACGGGACTGGGAACGTACCGCGCAGGCGCAGTCCCCGGGTGGGGTCCGCAGGCCTCAGCCCCTGCACGGCGGCCGCAGCCGGAGCTGCCCGCCTCCATGCGGTTCGAAGCAGCATGTTCCCAGGCCGCAGAGCCCACCACCTGAAGAAGCGACGAGCGTCGGGCTCAGGCTCCGGAAGTAACCGCCTGGAGCCCCGGAAGTAATTCCTCGGGCCCCGAGTGTGCTCCGCCTTGCTTTCCGTGTGAGACGTGGAGCCGAGCGACCGAGGCCCAGAGCGAGGTGAGATGGGTGGGTGCCCCGCGCCCGGCGGCGGCGGC